CGCGCGCCGCGCGCGGGGTTTAAACCGGCGGCGGTTGCCGGGCGGGTGTCTCGCTGCTCGGCCGGACGCGGTTCCCGTGCCATGGAGTCCCGCGTCTACCGCAACGTTCAGCCCGGTGCCGTTATTAACATCCAGCGGAGCAGTGGTGAGGAGTGGGGAATGGGGTGTTTGCACGGTCCCGGCCCCCGCCGCCCGCATAAGTTCTGGCGGTGTGGGGCGGCCAACTTTGGGCTCAATGCTGGCTTTTTCCAGGCTTAATCCATAAGGCAACGGTGAAGGCGGTGAGCGTGGAGTACGCCTGTGTGAGCGTGGAGTGGTCTGAGAGCGGCGTCACTAAGGGCAAGGAGGTGAGTGATGGCTGCTCGCGGCTGCTCGCGGCTCGTCCTGCCCCGGGTGCCCCGGCGGGACCAGCCCCGGGCAGCCCGAGGCTCCCGGGAGCGGCCCGGCTCCTCCGCCCCGCTGCGCGGGCAGCGCCTCTCCCGCGCTGCTGCCGCTCGCTCCCTGCTCGCCTTGTTCTGTACGGAACGGGAGCAGCGCTCCAGCCGTGCCAAGGCAAAGTGTGAGAGCCGCAGTGGCGAACCTGCACCTTCTGCCTTTCAGAGGGATCGAGGAGGGTGGGTCTCTCACACTGTTGGCTGTCCCAATGCTCAATGTCCCAAGTGTCCAGTTTCCCAGCTCTGTGGGCTGTTTGTTGGCTTTCCGTGTCTTACACAATGGCCTTCAGGCTTTCCTTAAAATCTCTTACTAATAAGGTGCCGTGTTAAGGGTTGGGTTTGACTTCCTGAATTTCTGCATCAATATGAAATCAATACAGTGTGAGATGAGATGGGAGAGAGGGGAGACTTGGGCATTTGAAGGTTATATGCCTGAAATCCTGACAATTAAAAAAGTCTGATACTCAGCAAATGTGCTTGTCCTTCTGATGTCTGGAAACGTGCAGACTCTGGATTTCAGTTAAAATCTTAAAAGTTGCCATTGGTTGTTAGAAACCACATCTTACTCTGCATGTGCCTGCTGCATTCAATACAATAAATATTCAGATATAACTATTGACTAAATTGCATTTATGTGTTAAGATGTTAAATCTTTAGGAAGATACTTCAAAATCCAACAATTTTTTTATGTGCTTATATGTATATGCTGTGCATGTGATGAGGTGAAGGCAGAATTATGATTTCACATGAGGGTCAGTCAGGAGTAGCTGGTACCTGGTGAAATTGTTTGCAGTAGCAAGTGAAGATGCAGGTGAATTAAGTTGTGGATTAAATGCTGAATCCTTCATTTCCCAGAGTCTAAGCAGCTCTTTGACGTTTATTTCAGTAAGCACATCACCCAGTAAACACTTAATGCTCTCCTAGCACAGAAGTTACAGAGCTGCTGAGATTTACTAAGATTAGCAGTGGGAGATTAAAGCAGGGGTTGCCAAATGGGCTTTGCCCTTCTCTTCAGAAGTCCTCTATGGGACCTGCAGAGCTGTGTGGTGTTTGGCAGATGAGGGTAAATGGCTTAACTAGCACATTTTGTCTGGTATATTTAGATGTACCAGATTGTTCAAATGGAATAGGAACTACTGTTTTGCTCTTCCAAGCAATTTTAGCATAATATTTGGCAGGCAGTAGGTCAAATTTGTTTGCCTTCACTGAAAGTCCAGATTAGAAAAAAAACCAAACCCTAAGTAGTAGCAGCAGTATTCTACCATGTAAAATCCTGCCTTTGCTCTTGCAGCTTGATATTAAAGACGTGATTGCAATAAATCCTGAATTATTAGAACTACCTCCTGCGGATGTGAAGGAGAATGTTCCTTTGCAAGACAATGTAACTTTACAGGTAAGTGTTTTAAAGTAATTTAGTTTTTTCTAAGATACTAATTCATAGGTCTTGTTCTATATAATACTCTCAGTCTTAAAGGTTGAGCTCTCTAACTTGTCTTTTCTGTCTCATAGGCTTTGATCAGAAATTCTTGTTGCATTGATGTTGCCCTGAAGGGCAGTGTTTGGTGTTTGCTACTTACTCCAACTGCTTACAGCATTCCTTGTTTTTCAGAAACAGAAGCGTAGAACAACCCTTTCAAAGATTCCTGCTCCACGGGAAGGTGAGAAAATGTTTTGCTTTTATTTTCTCTGCTATACCATTGTGGAACTGTGCTGGTCCTTCATTAGAGCCATAATATTGTACTTTAGTGCATCATAAGGTTGCTCCTTCAGGCAGTGCTAACCAAGAGGATACTGTCTCATACCAATGTATGAGGGCAGTAACTCTCCTAACAGGTTTGCTGTCCTCCTCCTGTGAGGTGGGGTTTGTTGATATGTTCTCCTCTTCTGCAGTATTGTTGTGGTTATCTCCTACTTTAAATGTCAGTAGGCAGTTGCTGTTGCGCTGAATTTTCAAGTTCTGTATGGAGCTTTGCAAATGCCACAACCAACAGAAGATAAGTTGCAACTATTGAGATTAAAAGTGTCAGAATGAGAGTGGAAAGGACAAGAAAGAAATAGTGGTGACAAATGTATGTCTCCTCATCAAGCAGTCTCCCTGGACAATAAGTAGAGCTTTATACTTGGAGACTTTTCAGACCAGGCAGCTAAAGTGCCAGCTGGTGTGCCCAGCTCCCTGATTGCACGTCAGTACAATGTCTTGAGCAAAGGCAGAAGGGTAGATAGAGATGTCAGTGTGGGATTGCTAAGAAAATGTTCTTCCTGAGGTGTCAGGAGTTAGAAAATGCCTGTTTTCTGCATTCTCTTAGCTTTATTAGCTGACTTCTTAGGCTTTTTGAATTGCAAATGGCAGCATTATGAGTCTGTTTGTAACACACTGTATGATGCTGAGGTTGAATAATTGCTGATGTAATGATTCTTTTAAAGTGCATAGTTAGCCAAAACTTGTGCTTCGCCATTTAGCTGAGCTGTAAACAAAACATTTGGGCTGTTTGGTCTCTTCTGTTCCATGCAATGTGAGACAGGGAAGCCAGTCCCAGAAGATAACAGTATGAATTCCCTGGCATCAGAGAGGCAGGAGTTGTCCAAGAATCCTAATGTGTAAGAAGTTCTGTACTGGAGTATACTGATTTTTCTCAACTTCGGAGAACTCCATAAATTTTGTGAACTGACAAGCAAAATGATGTGATGAAGTCATGACTGTCTATATATGGGTCTGTTAATAGAACTGGATAGCCAGCTGGAAAACACAATGTGTGTTAATCCAGTCATTGGTTGATGGAAACATGTCATTGCACAGGTCACAGCTCTCCTGAAGTATAGAATCTAATTGCATAACTAAAATGCCTGTTGCCTGTCCAAAGTGGCACAGTTATTAGTAAAATAATTTCTATTGTTAAAAATAGCTAAAGCCTAGGAGTGTCAGAGTATCTGTCCTGTTGCAAACTCTGCACTGCACCATTTAGAAAGCTAACATTGGCTTCACTCATGTTCTTAGACTAAACAAATTAAAGAAGATCAGCAGGTGTCTGTCTCCATCTTATTCAGGAAAGGAGGGAAGCAGAAGCAATGCTTTCAGAATTAGTTAAGAAATAGATTAATAAGGAATAGATATTGCCTCAGTCCCATGAATCAATAGGAGTTTTTGAGGATGCTGAATATTCTCACATACAAGAATCACTTGAATCAAGCCTATTTAGATAGATTGAATCCTCCAGTTAATCTGCCTGTCCAGAAGCACCAGCATTTATAGAAACAGTGCTGTCGAGTGTGAGATGAGATCAGGTCTGGGCACATGGGACAAGAGAAAATGGAATAAAATGCCCTCTCTGAGTGTAATGAAACTGATGCTTTTTGTTTCTAAAACTGCAGCAGTCACATCTAATGTCTCTGCACCTGAGCAGACGATTCAAGGTAAAGCGTTAACAGGAACAATGAATTTTGCATATGGTTCTAAGGAATTTTATCCAGAGTTGAAAAGAACCCTTGGTTGCAAACATATCTGGTGTCCTTTGAAATAATAGTAATTAATTCTGGATAAATTCTAATAATTGCTGGTGAAGGGAGTTCTAGCTTGTGTATCACACTTTATTTTTCATATCAGATTTGCTTTTTTTTTTAAAACAAATCTATTGAGGCAAACATTCCAATCCTTCTCCTAGGAAGCTTTGTAAAGGACTTGATCTCGGTGAAAGAAATACCTTGGCATGTGAAAATGGAGACTGCCTACAAAGGGACCTTTTTCAAACATTTGCTGTTGTGGTTATACAGGGTCTTTTAGCTGAATGTAGTGCCATGGAGCTCCCAGCCTCCTGTGCACCACACACAGCCTGTGTGTGGGTGCCCTCATGGTGGGTGGGCACAGTGCTGCCCATGGCCAGTTGCCAGGCTGCTGTACTCGTGTCACCATCAAAAAGTTAATTCATACAGCCCTGCAAGTGTGACGCTTCAGAAGATTTAGTGGTTCTCTGACTTGAAACTTCCTCCTTCCTAGGTATTGTTAGGATGCTGGAATTGCCATATTTTTATGTGAATCCTTAGTGGGATCTGAAAGAAATTCACTGGAATTGCAAATCTGGGATGAACTGTTTGCTTTTCTGTAGTGGTGGGTTTATTGACCACTTTTCAACCACATGCATTGCTTTGTCCTGCACTATGCTAATGGAAAAGATCCTTTTAACCACACCTTCTTCCCCACTGCTCTGTACCTTGTGAACAATTGATTCATTGCAAGTATCTGAGTGTCCCTGGATTCCTGTTTCCAAAGCTGTCCATGGCCGTTCCCGGATGTCTGCTATTGCAGAACCCCACTGCGGCTTCCAGGAAGATGAGATGGCAGTAGATCCCTCCGCTTCTTTGCAAACCAGAAAATATTTGACAGTTATTGGTAAGTGGAGAAGCATTCCTGTGAATTCTTAATGTGAAACCATTTTCACTTTGTGTGCATTTAATGATTCAAACTGAAAATACCAGTGGGAGAGCCACCTGAACATTTTCATAGATAAAATGAGAGGCCTAGAGGTCTGCCACTATGTAAATATCCAGGGCTCCTGCCTGAAATGTTTTCCAAAGGACTTTGGGAACAATGTTGTGCATAATGATGTACTTTTTTAGTGAGAGCGCTGTGGTTGGGCAGTTTGGGTGGATGTGATATCTGCTTAATGGCTTAAAATGGTATTCATGGTGCTACAGTGGGAAGAGAAGTGCCTTAACACTGCTGACAGTGCACCCTACTACCCAGTAACCATACTGGTAGTAGTTTTACCTATGCTGGTTGAGTAACACAAGAACTTGAGCCTCCTTGAATTACAAAATTGTAGTAATTTATTTTACTAGGCTATCCGAAGAATAGCTGAGGCCATGCCTTGCATGTTAAGTTCTACAAAAACACTGAAATAAGAGGCTTGATACTAAATTCTTGTCTAGTTGGTTTGGCCTTGATTTGCAGCATTGCATAAAAGTTTGTGATTGACAAAGGATTTAAGTTTACTTGCACATTTACCATAGATTTTAGATAATTCACTCTCCTACTGCAGGAGCTGAGAAATGTCTGTGGTGTATGAGGCTTTACAAATCACAAAGTTATTCCTGATCTTTGTAATCTAATTATTGATTTTGGTCTGGCTTCTTTCTGCAGCTGGCCGAACCAGGCCTAGTGAGCTGGATTGTATCCCAGAAGCTTCCCTGACAAGTGTTAATGGTAATACAGAGAATTATCTGCCTGCTGCTAGAACAAACTCTTCAGTGAGCCCAGGTACCAGGGAGCAGTGGATAAAGGCTGACTCATCAGTCAGCAGTGAATCACTGTGATTGCTGCTTTGTGTACTCAGAGATTAAAGCTTTGAAAGAGTGACTTTGGCAGCAAGACAGAATAGCTTCAATTTTATTATAGATATATAATTCTGTTATAGTGGTATTGCCTCAGAAATGCTGCCTTTGCTTTAGGGTGGTAGTGTGACTTCTGAGAAGGAAGTGCTGCAAAATTAATGGCCATCCTTCTAAAGATGATTGTTTCCTGTATGAGCTAGTCTGTCAGCAGCCTGGAAAAGTTGAAATTTTTGTCTTATGCTTAAAATCCAGCATGAAATTTTAACCCAAGGAACTGTTTTCATTTTATCTAGTTCGAAGAAGATCTAACATTGTGAAAAAGATGGAGAAAATGAAAAACAAGAGAGAAGAAAAGAGAGCTCAAATTAATGAAATCAGGATAAAACGAGCACAGGTGGAGTACTCTACAATACACCTGTAAGGGGAAATTCTGTAGGACCCTGTACTACAGTAGTTGAAACTAAAACATATTTTGTACAGGCTTTGTTCTTAGAAATCTGTACATAAGGATGGATTGATTCTGGTTTTAGAAAGTTGTGAATCGTGTAAAATGTTTTGAATTGTATACAGCTTCTTGTTGAATAGTCTTTGTGGCCTTTTTTTGCTGTAACAGATCAATTGCATTCACTACCATGGTTTTCCATGCAGGAGTTTGACAGCACCTGTCCAAACTGGGAGTTTGCACGTATGATCAAGGCATTCAGAGAAAATTTAAACTACCAGCCAATATCTATAAATGATCCAGTAAGTAAATACTGAGGCTACTAACTGCAGCCTGTAGACAAACTTCTCTATTTTGTACTGAAAATGTTGGCATTGAGCAGTTGGTGCATCACTGCACCTTGGTAATCCTCTGAGCGTATTGTGAGCTTGAGGAAGTTGGTGGTATCTGTAAGGTTGCTTTCCTTCCCTATTTAGGGCTAAGCTGTCTTATTATACTTTGACAGTAGTGAAGAGTCTGTGCTTCAACAATTGTCATGCAATGATGTGTGGCCATCAGTTGCCCTGAATGCACTTTGACTGACATCCCTGCATGAGTGGGTGGGTTCAGAAGCAACTCTGATCAGCATAAAGAAAAATGGATATGAGGGAGCATCAGATCTCTCTGTAATCAAGAAATATCGGGAAATAATTACTTACTTTATTTTCTTTTAGATAGAAGAGCACAGGATTTGTGTCTGTGTGAGAAAGCGCCCTCTCAATAAGCAAGGTGAGTGTACTGACCAAAAAGTTATGTCTTGAACAGTTTAACTTTGTTCAAACTGTTTTCGTTAAAACTGAGGGTCTTTTCTGTCAACAGAACTTCAAAAAAAGGAATGTGATGTGGTTACTGTTCCAAGCAAGTGTGTCCTGATGGTGCATGAGCCAAAGCAGAAAGTAGACCTAACAAAATACCTTGAAACCCAAACATTTAGATTTGACTTTTCATTTGATGAAACTGCTACGAATGAAATGGTATACAGGTAATGCTTGCTGCTTACTGGAAATGCCTTTCAGATAAAAGCATGGAGCTGTGACCAGATGGCATCTAAGCTTAAGAAACTTACTTGAAATAAATATTAGAATCCTTTTTGGAAGAAGCTGAAGGACTGAAAAGTCTAAGGCTTATTTTTGGCATAGCCTTGCTGATTGCCTAAGGATTTGCTTTTTTTTTTTTAGTTTCTTTTCTTGTTAAAACTGATGATGATGAAGCAGTGTATGAAATATTTCTGTAACTATTTTTTATCTTTTGAATATTCAGATTCACTGCTAGACCTCTTGTAGAGACCATCTTTGAGGGTGGGAGGGCGACATGCTTTGCATACGGCCAGACAGGAAGTGGCAAGACACATGTAAGTTTTTCTCCAAGGTCTCAAGTTTTCTAGCTTTGATAAAGTGTTTCAAAGCTTTCTGATCTTGAGCATGAGTAGGATTGTGTAAGAATTTTGGATCTTGGTTTTATTGTCTTAAAGCTAATACTTTAAGATGTTAACTCTTTTTTTTCTAGCTTTCTGTATTAGTGGGTTTCCTTTGAAGTTGTGTGGAAAATGGTACTGGCTTTTCAAAAGATTTAGAAAAAAAGAATTAGAATTAAGAAATATAAAGACATTTTTTCTCTTTAGAAAAAAGAAAATCTGGCTTTTCAAATATTTAGGATATCCTGATATGTCAGTTTTAGTCATGGCTATTCCTTGCCTCAAATGCCTGTTGCTTTTTAAGTCCTGTCTGTATATAGTGGGGCTATTAGCCTATGTCTGAGACAAAGGCTAGTCTATCCTGTGCTTTAAGCTTGGAGGCATTCCAAAGAATTCAGCAATTATATAAAAATAAGCCTCATGATGCACCTAAATGTTTAAGCGATCTGGTATTGTTTGTGAAGTGGGTGAGTTAGTGTGTTTGCTTTCTAACCACTCCTTCCAGTGTAACAGCTGCAGCTTTAAGAGTTGTGAAAATTCTTTTGTCTCAAAAGAGAAAGCTTACTCTAAACTTAAAACAGCTGTGTCATCTTTAACTTTTTTTTTCTGAGAACTATGGGGAGGAATCCTCATAGCATGATAGTGGAGTCAAATGTGCTGTCCTGTTCTGCAAGAAGTGTTTACATCAACCACAGTCATCTGCACTGGACTGTGCTAATGCACTGCTTTGAGTAATCAGTCATTGCTGTTGTTCAGTGTTAGAGGCAAGTTTTAGGCTAGGACTTACTATCTTTAGTGCTATGTAGTGAGCTGTAGATCTTTTCCAGTAATCCAAACAAAAAGTTGGGGCTTTATACAAGATTGAGCACAGGCTGCCTTCATTGCACTGGAAAGGGCAGAGAAGCCTGCTTACCTGAGCCTCATTACAGGAATACAGCTGTGATGCACTAAAATCATAGGTGAAGTTGCTTTCCCTTCCCAGTCCTAGGGTAGAACTGGTGCAGGGACAACAGCTGTACCTTGAGACTAGAGTGCTGCACATTAAACTCTGGTAGATTGAGAATGTGTCATTGGATTGAGGTGTGTTCTTAAATAACAGTGGTAGGAGCAAGTCACTAGGATAGCACTAACTGAAAACTTTTTTGTGATTAAAGATACTTTGGTCAAAGGTGTTGAAGGTATTGTCTGCTCTAAATTTGTATTTCGTGTTAACTTTTGCATGTAGTTGTAAAAATGTTATTCAACCTAGATCCTAACAAATGAAGCTTTGTCTCTTCTGACTGGAGGCTGTTTGGTTGCACTGTCAAAGCAGTTTCCTTGGAGGAGCAACTGCTTTGACTCTGCACCCCAGAGCCTTACAGGTGCACTGCTTTGTGTAAGCCAGATTTTCTTTTTGAACTGATAGGGAAGCTGCAAACTAATTTGATAATGGGGCATTTAGCATTGGGGCTTATCTGTGGTAACTTCCTAGTTTGGTTTTGGAACTAAGATCAGGTAGGCTGACTTGTCAGTGACATGCCTGACCTCTGGCCTTTTCTTTACACAGACTATGGGTGGTGATTTGTCTGGGAGAAACCAGAATGCCTCAAAGGGCATATATGCTTTTGCCTGTAAGTTGATTCTTCTATACATAGAAAAATCAGATTAATGTTTGTTTTTCTCAACTAGATAAGATCTGGTTTCTTATGGTTATTTTAAACATGTCCAGCAGAAGATACATGAAGTATTTGTGTTTTCAATAATAAGATCTGTGTTTGGAGGTTACACAGGAGGTATGATTATTTTTTCATTCACTTCACAAAATATTTTTCCTCTAGCCTGTAAATGTCTACATACTTGTAGAAGATATTTGTTTCTGATATATTTTCTAATTAGGTATTTGCTGGGCAGAACCATTTAATTTTAATGCTTCTGCTTTGCTTTTGCCTCAGACATATCAGAGTACAACACAACTACCCATTTGTGATATAAGACTTGTTAGGTAAAAGGATGTATGTATTGTGTTTCTTTCCAAAAGCCTTAAATGCAAAAAGACTAGCACGTCCAAAATTATTTCAGAAAACAAATGCTTAGAAGCTCTTCCTTGATAAAATGTCTGGAAAGTACCACAAAACCTGACCTTTACTTTAGAAAGACACAGTGTGAACTTAGTCAGCAGCAAGGCAGCTGAACCAGGAACAACTCTTGGCTGATCTCTGAAAAATAGCTATGACTGGCCCTGAAGGAGTATTTGCTATTCATCTTAGCTTCAAAATCTGGAGCCTTATTGTGAAAAGCTGCACCAGATCCAGCCACAGGGTCAACTAATCTGGTATATTTTCTCCAAACCTCAGCAATGCAGATGTTCAGGGATGCATGTTTCTAGACTTTCTGCAAGATGTACTTGAAACGCAAACACGTGAATTTTTCAGGCCTGTCCAAAACAATAGGGGATCCCAGTGTTCCCTCAGAGCAGTAAGGATTTTTGTCTGTATGTGGCATTAGCAGTTGAAACGCCTGAATTTCCCTGTTTTCACTCCCTGGGTAAGGATGCTGCTCGATCTGTTCTCCAGATGGTAGCACAGCACTGTTTGTTAGCATTTGTTTGGATGATTGTCACTCAGTGTTTAGACACTGCCTTATAGCTGTGCAGTGTTTGAAAGTAGATCAAGTAGCAACTAGAATATGTTTTAAACCAGTTAACTGAAATTCTGTCTTTCCTCACTAGCACAAGATGTCTTCCTCCTCCTAAACCAGCCCAGGTACAGGAGTCAGAATCTGGAAGTCTATGTGACTTTCTTTGAAATATACAATGGAAAAGTAAGACATCTTTTTATTTTTAAATCTTCACCTGATTTCTTTGGTTGAATATTTCATAAGTAGCTGAGTCAAATGTAATACTTTCTATAGTTCTATGTATTCTGTTTATATTGGTGTGTTTGGAATTGAATTTGAAGTCTATGTTAAAGATGCTGTTTCTATATAGCTTTATACCAAGTCAGGGAAAAATACTTACAAGGAATCCTTGTTCAGGTTTGCCTCCATCTTTTTGTCTAAATATAGGTGTTTGATCTCCTGAATAAGAAGGCCAAACTTCGAGTCCTGGAGGATGGCAAGCAACAGGTCCAGGTTGTTGGTCTCCAAGAAGAACCAGTTAGCTGTGCTGAGGATGTCATCAAAATGATCACGATTGGCAGTGCCTGCAGGTTTGGTGACTTAAAACCTATAAAAGAGGAGCTGTGTCCTGTTGCATCTCCATGTTTAGAAAAGCATATATGAGGCAGCCCTTTTTGGCTAGCAATTTAGTCATGAACTGTTTTTACATTTTAGGCTACTCCCTCCTTTTTCCCCAGTAGCAGAGATGAGGGTGGAACAGTGAACCTGCCAGCATTCTCAGGGAATAAATGATAAAGAAGGTCAGAGGGAGATTTAAATTTAAAGATGTCACTCTGTGCCTTGCAGTGATGGGGCAGGTGCAGCTGCACAGTAAAGGTGAAATGCCAGACCAGCTTTGCTGGAGAAAGGGATTTACCATGATTGTACTGTGCTAGCACAGCTAATGCTGTTCAGTAGGGAGCTTGTCTGAGCTTACTGTATAATGGCAGATGCATTAGGAAAATGACATGTGGTGTGCTGAAGGTGTGACTTCCAGCTCAAAGTGCACATGAAGCTTTAGCACTCAGAAAGGCATTCCAATGTAGGCTGGCTGAGTTGAGCCAGACAGCTTAAACAGCCTTCAATTTCTATAACCAGGGTGCAGGTTGGTATTTTTCACAAGTAGTTCTGTGCTCTTATATCAGAAGGAATTCTATAATTCACACAAAGTATTAATGTGGGAGAAACCCTAGGAGTTAAATTGAATGGCTACAGGTCTTATCTAGTGCTGTCAGGACCTCTTTTGTTACACATTTCTGAGGCTTGTTTGCATCTCTGCTGTAGGACATCTGGGCAGACTTTTGCAAATGCCAACTCTTCACGGTCACACGCCTGCTTCCAAATCATACTGCGCCGAAGAGGACAAATGATTGGCAAATTTTCCTTGGTGGATCTGGCAGGAAATGAAAGGGGTGCAGACACATCTAATGCTGATCGGCTGACGCGGATGGAAGGTGCTGAAATCAATAAGAGCTTGCTGGCTTTGAAGGTGAGCTACAGCTCCTGGAGCAGAGTGATAATCAACATGTGGATTCTGTTCAGCTCTGGGGTTATCTGTTCTGTTTCATTCCAATACATGGAAAAAAACAAAAAAGTACTAGTTTAGGATGTGAGCAAGCTAGAGCATACTTCCATTTAGAATGTTTCCAGGAAAGTAGTGCAGTCTTATCAGGCCAGACACTGGTATAGCTATTTCAAGTTTCATTCAAGTTGACCTTTTTTAAGGGGGTGGTTTATGACATGATGGCTATACCTACTGTCCTGTGATAGTCAGATACCTGGAGCACATTTTAAAGACTATGAAGAACTTGGAGCAAGCAATATATGTAACCATTCTTCAGCCTGTTGGGTTTACCAGCAATTGGTGGTTGATAGCTTGCTGAGCTTATTGAAGAGAGATGCCAATACTGCATTCACAAGACCTGTCTTTTTGTAGGAGTGCATTCGAGCTTTAGGGCAGAACAAGTCTCATACCCCCTTTCGGGAGAGCAAGCTGACACAGGTGCTAAGAGACTCTTTCATAGGAGCAAACTCCAGGACTTGCATGGTGAGTATGCACATGTTAAACACAATGCTTAGGTTCTATAATTCAACCAAATAGCTGCATGTTCCTCTACAGCAAGGGGATTTTTAAGTCAGAAAACTTTAAATTTTATTTAAAAAAACAATCAAACAAAACCCAAAAAACCAACTATTTTCCTCATGGAAACTTGCCCATGGTGAGCAAGATAAAAAATTCATGTGTTATGCCCAACTATCATAGAAGCAAGGCTGTGGAAGTCTTTAATCTGGTGAATCTGTAAGAGAGCTTGGTGTGGTCTCAAAGGGCTTTGCTTTCTGTGGATGGTGAAGCATAGCAGGTGCACACAAAGATATGGAAAGTTGGATACAGGGATGCTGGCATGTCCCACAAAATCCATAAAGAAAAATGGACTTGGCTGTCTCAACTCCAGCCCTTTGTCCTCAAATGTCCTAGCTGTGTGGTGAGATTTGTAGAAGCATTAATGAGCAAAAGTCAGATACGAGTCATTAAGGTTTCTTTTATATTTGCAGATAGCAATGATTTCTCCAGGCATGAATTCGTGTGAGTACACCTTAAACACACTGAGATATGCTGACAGGTAATGGCCTTTCTGACCTGGGGATTCTAATCTTATTGTAAAAGGTGTTTTAGCTGCTTTTACTCTGACCTTTGGAACCTTTGTATTGTTTGTATTGTCAACCTGGAGGATAGTTGTTAAGAGCAAAGTATTTTAGAATTGTCATATGAAACCAACCTGGGTGTTCTGTGTGATACATAACAGAGATGATGTAAAACCATAAGTAATGTCTCTTTTCATCAAAGGAATCTCCTCTCATGCTAGACTTCAGACTGCCCTGAAGTCCCTGGTTCTTTCAGGAGTTTACCCTGTCCTGAATGGTTATCTCCATGCCTTTTACTTTTTGCAGTACTTTGTGACCCCTCTGTAAGGGTGTTCTAAGAATGTGTGTCATGAATGAGTGTTTTAGTTCACTCAACAAATCAATGACAAAGATAGCAGCAAAAGTAGGTTCAAAATTTAATGAGAGACACAGTTTGTTGGCAAGGTTCACTCCACTACTTACTAGGTAGTTAAAGCACACAGAGAAGAAAATTGACTAAAATCAATCAATCTAAAATAAAAATCAACTTAAAACTACTTACCTGGAAGACCGGGGAATGGAAGAAGGAGTAAGGTTAGAAAAAGAAAGGATAAAGATGAAAAGGACTAAGGGAGAGCTTCCCCTTGAGTTACAAGGTTTGTGTGACCCCCTTGTCAGACATAGCCTGGACTTGACCAATGGTTTAGGCCTACAGATTTTAACTGCACTTAATCCATAGCCTAATTTAAATAATTTAACATAGGATTCTACCGAATTTACTATAAGCAAACACTTGCAGGTCTAACTTACTTAAAAATACTTAACATACTTAAGAATCTAAGACTGCAACCTTCATAGTATATTTGCCATAGCATAGTCACACACAGACCTAAAGGACTAAGTACAATGTATAGGTGTAATTCCTACCTGCTGTGAAGGGATTTTGGTCCCAGCTCAACTGATGGAAGTGTAACTGCCAGAGTGGCTCCTGGATACCCAGATAGGAAAGTTTCCTTAACACAAACATCTGATTTTCCTTCCCACAGTGTTCAGGGGTTTCTGCCCACATAAGCCTGTTCTGGGGATAGTAACTGTGTAACTTTTAAAGTGCAACTGATGGTTTCTTGCTGAGCACTGATTGCTGTAGCTGCTTTGTGATGCTGTAGCCAAGAAACTGATGGAAGATGAATTTGAGTGACAAATCTTCTTGTTACAGAGTGAAAGAGCTCAGCCCTCATGATGGAGGTGGTGAAAATCAGTGTCAGATGGAGAATGAGGAGGCTGAGACCAGCCCTGAAAGCTCAGGTCTTCAATTCAATGTATGTGTGTGCAGTGGGCTAACCAGAACTCAAAGCTGGGAACAACTTGCTGTTCTCACCTGGGCTGTTTCTTGCAGTTTTCCAAAGAAGGGGAGGAAGAACTCTCTCCCTACATGTTCAGCTATCGAGAGGTTATGACTCAAATTAATGAACAGGAGGAGAAGGTTGTGGAACAGCTCAGACAACTGAGACAGGTATGGGGAAGCAGCAAACCCATCCCAGGCCACCTTCTACATGTTGATAGCAGCTTGCTTTGTCTGAGCCAAGTGCTGCTGGGGAGGCACCAATGCAAGATGCTGTACTAGTGGTGTTACTTTTTCCTCACTGCCAACTTTTTCTGGTATTTTCTGGCCCAGTTGGTTAAACTGGGGCATTCCAGTACTTTTTCCAGTTCCCTTTCCCTTCCAAATAGCAACCTCTACTTGTTGCTAATGATCACTGATAGCTCCTGGTCTGCAGAAGTTCAACTATGTTGATTAGACTGCCAGACTTGAAGAAACTAATTGAATTTCTAGAAAGTCCATTTATCATCACTGTTATCCTTGTAAATACAGAAAATAACTACTGAACTTGACTGCCTGTTGGAAATCACAGAGAAACCAGATTATGATCTTGAGACCTTTGTGAGAAGAGCTAAGTACTTCACAGAGGACAGCTCAAGAAATTTCCTTAGTGTCAAAGGTATGTTAGAGCCTGTGTCTGACTAGCACTGTCACTAATGCTTTTCCAAAGACCTCAAAGTGGCACCAGCATACCTGTGGGGGTTTGAGCACCCAGTCCTGCACAGCTGAAGTCTGCTGGGACTGACAGCTGTGCTGGAGAGTTCAGCTTCCAGATCAATCACCCTGTTGCTCTTACCTTTCTTTGCAGAAACACTGGATGCCCTGGGGACTGCCATGCAACTGGAGGAGCAAGCCAGCAAACAGCTAAGCTTGCAGAGGCCTTAATCATTACAGCAAAACCCAGTTTCACAAACAATCTTTCATGTGCTTGTCTTGTCTTGCATGTTTGTCAGTGGTTTGTATCACTCCTGTTTTAAATGTGGTAGAGTGTCATGCCTAAGGGCAGTGAATTCATCAGCCTTTTTCTTCATGGTCTGTATCAGGGTACTCAGCAAAGTGCTAAAATGCACCCCCTGCAAGGCTTAGGTAGAAGGCCTGAGATATCTGGCCCTTTGCTGGTGACAATAGTCTCCCCTAAGAGACCTAACTACACATATATAGTACATTACCTTTTCCAGATGTGCTTGAAACATTGCAAAACTGTTACAAGTTTTGCTTTTCTAGAAGGAAAGAAAATGGACTATGTGATTGCCAAAACTAGTATTTTAAGAAGTTGAATAAATAAATGTTCTTGGATCTCATTATCTTATCTGTCCTATAAAAAATATTTCTTGCTGATTATGATAAAGTTTAACAGCTCCTAAAGACTGGCTGTTGGTAGGGAGGCTGATTTCTTGGATGAAGTTTCTTTTCAAAGTCTTTATACTTGTAATGTTTACATAAAAATCACAAAATAAGTTTTGTCTCTTAATTTTTGAGATGCTGCTGGACTCCCCTATCCAGGGGGAAGCTGGCTTAAGTGTAGCTTATCTGCTGCCATGGCCCTTGTGTGCAGCCTGGGCCCAGATTGCCCTGCAGACCCTTCCTCTGGGAGAAGAGCAGGTTAGGGAAGGAACATCTGTAAGGCCTGTGCTAGTGCCTGCTCTTTTTTACTTATTCAGCTCAGTTCAGCATTTTTCTTCAAAAGCACAAAATACTTGTGTGAGCTCTAGGTTCAGCAACACAGGATGCAGCTGTGCAAACATCAGATCACAAAGGGACCCTTCTACCATGACTCCCTCTTTTCTTAGAGCTATCTTATCCCTGTGAAAATCAAGGGTGTAATTTAAGTGACAGGCACCTTCCAGCTGTAGACTGCATTCTCGCTGTGTGTCTGGAGATGCCAACTATATTGGAGGCCAGTTCTTCAGCCTGGACTGGAAAAACTATGTGCAATGTTTCAGGGCTGGCCTGGAAAAGAGAGCAAAAAAGTCAGGGAACTTTGAGGGATGTGAGCAAACATTAGTCACAAGCACTTAAAGAAGGGATACTTCAACCCAGTCATGATTCTCCTCCACAGCTTGGGCACTTTGTGCTTAACTGTTTAGGTTCTGGGAGCAGAGGGGTGCTGAGCACTCTGAGGGTTTCTGAACTGTGAAAGCTGACTTGGACCTGGGCTCTGCCTGCATCATACTAAGATGGCACAGCCAGAGTAGCAGGGCTGTTATGCCCTGCTAAGTCTGGACAAAGGCAAGACAATCCTGTTCCACTTCAGGTGTTAGTACTCTTGGATTACCCAGCCTTTCCCTGTGCAAGGAACAAATATTGCCTGCTACCTTCCCTCTGTGGCCCCAACATTACTTATTTTCCCCTCTACCTTAGGAGTTAGAGACCTGATCTGCAGGCCATCAGATCCTACCCTGCATGGGGGAAGAACTACCCAATGGCCTGAGTTTGTGCCTCTTGTAATGGAAAATGCTCCTGTCCTGCCCTAGTAGCACCAATAGACACCAGAGCTGCAAAATAAGAAATGTTCAGCTGTGCATGGGCTAACAATCATTTAACACTGGGCTTGCTGAGAACCAACTGTTTAGTGATCAGTGGGAGCTTCCTGGTCTATATTTAAGTCTGGCTAGTTTCTTGTGTCACCATAAAAACCCCAGGACTCAAACATCACCACCCTTCTGAGAGGATGTCACTGGAAAACTCATGTTTGCCTCCCTATCGACCAAGCAGTTTGCTTTTCCAGAAAAGGTGTTCTAACAGCACTATCTTGTGGTTACTGCAGGAAGTTCATACTGAATTTTAGTGCAAATAGCTGAATTTCATTGAGGATTTTGTTGCTGTTCGCGAGCGCTGGTGGGACAGCGGGAGGGGGAGAGAGGCGGCGCCGCTTTTTCCCCTTATGCAGTCAGTCATAGGCACTAGGTTTTCCAGTGGGTGGCTGATCTTATAAAAGGGTGTTTCACTGCTGGCTGTGGCTACCAACTGTGTGGAGGATACAGTGGCCATGAGCAATGCAGCACCCTTCAGCTCTTTGCAGGACATAACACTGCTTCCATGCCCAGCCATCAAGGGTGACAATACACAAGGCCAGTACAAATTTCACATCTCCCTGTAAATAAAATTTCAAGCCAGCTCCAGTGGCAGGAGCTGGGAGGGTCCTATCTGCAGGCAGTGACTCTGCCTCATTCCCAAGCACACCCATCTCCAGCCAGCTTAGGACTGGAGACTTGATGAAGCTGGGATACTCAGCAGAGAGGAGTGCCAGAGGTGAATGGGTGAATATTTCCTGAGAGGAACATGTCGCAGTCCTTTCCTACTGAAAGGATGCCACTCCTCTAAGGTTCTTTTTATGGCACTGTAGATTCTGCTCCAGTGTCTCACCCAATGGCTTTTGTGGCAGCTACCTGTTTAATACACTCTCAGCCAGTGTGGCTGTGTGTGTATGTGGAACATTAGCAAGGAAAGAATGATGCTTTTGAAACACTTCTAAGAAGTTAGAGGTGGAGTTATGCTGCTAGCATAAAAGGAGGGTGGATATACTTTTTCAGGAAACGCTGTGGATATGTATAATGATCTATGCACATGCCACAGCTCAAGCAGTCTGGGCTACTGTGGCCTGCACTGCTAAGCCGGGACAGGAAACACCCCGCGCTGGAACTGTTCGCCATCCTCACGCAGTAGCCCTTGGCACATTTCTGGAGGCCTGCAGGGTAGCATCAGGCTGCAGGCAACCCCTGCCTGGACCCGGGCAGCCCTTGCTGCTGCACCCCTCGCCTCAGGGGACAGCCCCCTGCATCTCCCCTACCCGTCAAGGGGAGGCTGAGCCCTGCAAGTGATGATGATACCCCCACTATTGGGAAAACCTCGACAGCCACGTTAGAATAGCGACATTTTTATCTCTATTGTTAACCAAATAAAATGTAGCTCCACCGAAATGGAGCCTCAAAAAATTTCTCGACACTCGTGCCTGTTCCTCTCCACGGAAATCTTTAGTAAAAGGCGAAAGATTTATACGATCTGAAGAGAAACCAGAGTATGCCTTCGGGTTCCGCCCCGACACTGCCGCTGTCTGCTCCACCCCACAGAACACAGGGTGAGGCACGGCTGCCCCCGCGCCGCGCCCAGCCCCACATCCCCGGCCCAGCCCCGCGGGATGCACACACCGGGCAGCCCCCGCAGCCCGCGGCAGCGGCCCCAGCACCGGACACCGGCGGGGCCGGACGCCGGCGGGGCCGCGGGGCACCCTGGGTATGCAAATCAGCCCCGTGACGGCGGCCGTAATGAGCGGGAGGAGCCGGCGGCGCGCACGGGCGGGGCGAGTTGGTTTTGCTGACATCGGTGCCGTAGCACATCCGTTCTCCCCACGGTCCCAAGCACTGGGGATCGCTTATATTCCCCATTGCCGCAATTAATTACCATCAACCCACCCCAATGAGCGCTCAGCATTCGCTCTTTCTTTAACCGGAAATGGTTAGCTCTACCGTAATGCAGCCACGAAATTTTTATTAAGACTCGTACGCGTTTCTCTCCACGGATTTATACGATCTGAAAAGAAACCGGAGGACAGCCATGCTCCACCCCGCACATATGCCTACTGCCGCCCCGTATGACAAGGAGACTTTCACTTAGTTCCTTTCCATACTTCCCACTCCTTCCGGCGCCTCACCCGGCTCGGCAGCAGCTCCCGCCGGTACCACAGCCCGGCCGGCCCGAGCGCGGAGCCGCGCCGGTTTAGAGCGGCGGCGCTCGGCGGGACCGGCCCGGCGCTGCCCGCACGGCAGCCCGGGTATGCTGATCGCTCCAAGCGGAGGAGGCGGCTCGCCCCGGCCAAGCCGGTGCTTCCTGCCCTCCTGCCGGGGCGGGGCGAGCGAAGCGGGTCCGCTGCGGACAAAGCGAGCTGGGAGCGGCGCTCGGGTCTGGTCACATCGTAGCCACGGCAAGGAGACACCGCGCAGAGGCAAAAAGTCGGCTCCGAGAAAGGCCGCCATACGCCGCCGGCACGGATCGGAGCTAGACAGCGAGGGGGGCTTGCGGTAGGGGTTCTACGCAAGGTGCCGAGCTCCGAGAGGGCGCCAACACTACCCCTATCCTCCTGGGAGGGCTGTAATGGCCGGGAGTGCCGGGCAGGTCCCTGGCTGTCTCTCCTCCCGGAGTCCGAACCGCGGGCACGCAGCTGTGCATCGCCCGGGCCGGGCCGGGAGGACGGGTTGCCCGACCCCCACCCTGTCACGCTCATCTCCTGACCCGGCTGGGTATTGAGCCGGCCGCCCGGGCTGGGGTGTGCGGACGGGCCCGTAAGCGCAGGGTCAGTGCTGCCGGGAGCCCGGTGCGCCTTGCGCTTCCAACCCTAAAACACGGCATACACACCGTATTTCTAAGCTACCCAAAGAATTATTTATTCTTTTTTTTACCAGAGTAGGGGTAGCTCCACCGAAATGGAGCCTCAAAAAATTTCTCGACACTCGTGCCTGTTCCTCTCCACGGAAATCTTTAGTAAAAGGCGAAAGATTTATACGATCTGAAGAGAAACCAGAGTATGCTATGCTGTGGCCCTTGGCAGGTACTCATTCCTAGCTGTCCCTCCAATGCTACAGCGACGCCAGTTGTAGCCAGATTCGACCTTCATCTGCCTCACCCTATTGTCCCGGCTGCGGTCAGAGCTCGGCCTTGCACCGGACCAGCGGTTCCGGGGAGCGGCGGTCCGAACTTTGCAGTGTGCGCGGCAGCCGCGCGCGGTGCACTCTGGGTATGCAAATGACGCTGCATACTAATAAGCGCCCGTCCCCGCCCAGGCGGCAGGACCGGGGCGCCGGGGCCGCTCGACACGGAGCTCCTGAGCCTGCCCTTCGCCCCCGGCACACTCACCGGGCCAGCCCCACACCGTCCTGGGGCGGCAGACAGAGCTTACCTTTGTGCTGCACCTCCGGGTGTACTGAGCACAGCACACCCAGCATGGGCTCCGTGAGCAGACAGGGCACATCTCCCATCGTATCCTGGGGGAAGGGCAGAGTGACAGGGACGGGCTTCACACAGTTCTCCAGACTCTTCAGGCAGTAGGGCTAGCCAGTGCAGCCAGAATGCCAAGCAACTTTGTGGGCAACTATCCCATTCCAGCAAGAAAACCATGATGGCTAATGGCTTCCTGCTCTTTGACACATGTTATGATCTCTTCTGCCTAGAGAAAAATGAGAAAGAAATTAAAAAAGGTCTGTGAAGAAAAACTGTACAAATGAAATATCATTAGAATCACATTTAAAATCTCTGGCAAATAATATGAAAGCACTTAGTAATAATTTGATCTAATTTTCTCTTGCACTCATGTCACAGGAAAACTAGCAAAAAGAGAGTTCCTGTTATATCTGAAGCTGCACAATGAATCTGTGACAAACCTGAGACTATTTTCCTGGGCAGGTGGTTTTACCACAGGAGTTCTTTGCTCTGCTAATAAAGTCATTTTGATGTTACCCATTACCCCAGCCCTGTTCTCACTAGCCTCATGATATGAACAGGGCGTCTCATATCTAACCTGCCAGGGAATAAATGAGAGCAGAAATAGGTATGGATTTATGGGGAGTGACAGGGTCAAGGGGGCTATAAATGCCTGTTAGCACAGCAGCACAGCCCTCACGTGCTGGAACGACAGCCATTTGGACACCCACCCCAGGAACACGTGCCTGGCCTTGGCAGTGGGAAAGTGCTTTGGCACCCTTTAGCATGACAGACATTTGCTCTCTTTTTTCCCTCTCTAATTTTCTTGGCATGTTTTTAGACAATCTAAGGAAATCTAAAATGATAAGAGCTATAAGCAAGAAGACAGAAGTTCCAGAAGCATCCCTTGTCTGCAATTCCTTTTATTTCTTCACACAGATGTTAAATAAAGAAATCTACATTTTCCCAAGTGTCTTTTGGCTCAGTATGATATCCCCTGGTGCAGCTTGATAAATGTGAAGGTGCACTTAGTAGGGGAGATGGAATGTCAGGGACTAAGCTTTCCAATTGTGTGGCAGTCCCACAGCCGTGCACGCTTTTGGCTGGAGGACTCTGACCATTCTCAAGGAGCCTCGCAGTTAAACACCAGGATCTGTGCCCACACACAGAAGGAGAAAGAGGGATAAGGTCACAAACAGTGGCATTAACACAGCTGCCTTTTCTCCACCAAGCTGTATCAACATGCCTAAGGATAAGAAAGGAATTCACACCTTGTCTAATGCATTTCTTGGACTTCCTACTTAACAAAAGCACAATTTTAGGTTTTATTTAAGTGTGGTTTATTGAGAGAAAGAGTTAAAATGACATAAAGTATTTGTGTTTCAGAATAAGAAGTGCTTTCCAGTGTAATACAAATCATCAAGATTACCAATTTCCTATTTACAAAGTTCTTAAGTATTTTCTCCTAATATCTGGATAAAAATTTCAAATCCGTTCCAAAGTATCCCCAAGATACCCGCTCAAAAGTAACTTTCTACTCCTGTTATCTGAGCCAGACTGAAAACAATGACTAAGATGTGAAGCTGTATCTCAGTGCCTAAAAACAAACAAGTAAAGTCTTCAAAAAGCTGGCTAAGAAACAGTGCTTGAGAATTAAGATGAGATGAAATTTCATTTGGGAATTAACGGTCTGTGTTCTGTAAGGCATCTGTGTCCTTGGCAGGGCGTTTTCAGGATCTCCTCTGCAGGGAAGCAGGTTTAAAATAAATCCATTTTTCCAAAATAGTTGTGATTGAAAATGTTATTAGCCATAACAAATGTTAGTGCTGACAGGAGAATGGCCTATTAGGGGCCTCTGCTGAAACAGTCAAGTGAAAGTCATATTTCACATTATTGCAAGCATTTTCCTGTGATTTACAGAATATTTGTGAAACATTACTTGCAAGGCATATGATTGATATTGAGAGAACAGCTCGTGTGTAGGGGGAATCTGTATTTCACAGAGACTGTTTGCATGAAATTTACAGTCCCATAAAGTGCTCCTCTGTCCTCAACAGAGATCTAGTTAAAAGAACTTTACAGTCTGAAACATCCCAAAATTGATTGTAAATTAACGTTTCCATATTTATGTTTAAGATGCTGGTGGTGTAATGCTGCAGTAACCCACCCCCCCTGCCCACTACTCAGAAATACTAGCACCAGCCTCTGGATGTGAGGATTTTAGTGATACAAAGGGCTTGCCTATGAATCAACAGGAAAAAAAAAAAAAAGAATTTTGAAATGATGACATGGCTTCAGAGGATACAGTGGTGTCTGTCTTTGGCTGCATTTGCTGACATGGGCATCTTTAAGCCAACATTGCAAAGTACTCTGAAAATATACATTTATGTTTTTATTATGACCATTTTACATATGGGATCATACAGATACAGGGAAGTTAAATGACTTGCCTGAATAATTTGTCAGTGCTAGCATCAACATGTAACTCCTGGTTGTTGGCTTCAAAGTCTGCTGTCAAGAGTGCTGGGCTGCCACCCAGTCCGCTGGACCTAATAATCAAAACAAGGCTGGGTCAGGGCAGGGCTTTATTCCTGCCAAGAGAAAAATGAGTGATTTAGGAACTGTCTCTGGCAATTCAGCAGTTCTTTACATCCAGAGTTCTGCTTAATCATCAGACTGAGATCAAAAGGCAGACTGGTGTTGCTTCAGCCTCAGACCGAGTTGAGGTGCCAGGGAACGATAGCCTTGGACTCATGGGAGGACAGAGTGGCAGTGATTTGTTACCTTTGCATATTGCAACATCAAGGTTCTGCCCAGCCTCAGGCAGAACTTGGGGCTTGTTTTCCTGGCAGTTTTTCTCCTTTCTTGGCACACCTCACAGTGCACCTTCCTCAGTGTACACCCCCAGCCCCTCAACCCACGGTCCTGCCAGCCCCTCTGACCCGCGTGTCCAAACCCCACTGCTAAGGCAGCCACAGCCCAAACCTCCCTGCACTGCCCCATCCCAGCCAGGCCCTGCCAGCCACAGCCCAAACCTCCCTGCACTGCCCCATCCCAGCCAGGCCCTGCCAGCCACAGCCCAAACACCCCCTGCACTGCCCCATCCCAGCCAGGCCCTACACTGCCCCTGCATCCATCCCAGCCCCCGCCCCGTCTGACCCACTGCAGCCTCAGCATTCCCTGCCCCAGCCCCTCCTGACCCAAACAGCCACAGCGCTCTCCGCCCTCACGCCGCGATCCCCCTCCAGGCCCTGCCATTCCCCTCAGGCCGAGGGGCGGGACCCCGCACGGTGATTGACACGCGGCCGAGCCAATCGCTGCCAGACTTTCTGCCCCTGCCCAATGGGTGGGCAGCGGGCGGGGCGCCGGGCCGGCGCTAGGGTCGCGTTGCTAAGGAAGTGGGAGGTGGGGAGGGGGCGGGGCGAACGAGGAGGCGGGGTGGGCGCTTTCCCTTCCCATTGGCTGCGGGGAGGGAGGTGGGCGTGGCTTCCGGGGCGCGGAAGCGGCGGCGGCGGCCGGGGCGCGGAGCGCGGAGCGCGGCCATGGCCGCCCGCGGGCCGAAGGGAGCCGCGCTGGGGCCGGAGCCGGGACACGCCCGCGGGCCGAAGGGAGCCGCGCTGGGGCCGGAGCCGGGACACGCCCGCGGGCCGAAGGGAGCCGCGGTGGAGCCGGGACACGCCCGCGGTGCGCAGGCCGGCGGGACCGGGGACACCAGTGACAGCAGGGACTGGGGGGCCTCTGCGGGCGGAGCGCGCTGGGTACGGGAGGAGCAGCCCTGGGGTATTGGTGGCCCAGCTGGGGTCTGGCAGTCCCTGGAGGACAGGGCAGGGCGCTTCCCTTTTCCCCCTGGAAGTGGCAGCAGCCGCTGCCGCCTCGCCGGGGGCGGGAGGAGGGATCTCGCCCCCCGTAGGGATCAGTTCGGTGCTGGAGAGTGGTGGGAGCTGCGGGGGCCGAAGCTGTGCTGTGCAATACCCCCACTAATGAAATGGCGTGAGGCAATACGTGTAACTGACCGAGAAGTCAAGCTTATACTTGTTTTGCTGTTGCTTATACTTGTTTTGCTATTGCTTATACTCGTTTCGCTATTGCCTTTAAACTCTAGTAACCAGACAAGCTGCTGTAGGTTGTGACTCGGGCAGAATGCAGGGCAGTTGCTTAACACTTGTGCTTTGTTCCAGAAGGCAGTGCAGACACAGGGCCTGCCCAGGGCCAGCCTGTGGTGATCCTCCTGGGCTGGGCCGGCTGCCAGGACAAATACCTGGCCAAGTACAGTGCAATCTACAGCCAGAAGGTGAGTGGCCTGTCTCTATTTTCGTGACACTGTCATACTGTGAAACTGCCTTCTTTTTGCATGTTGGTAGAGTCTCTCTGAAGCCTCTCTTGGTCTCACTCATGGGGCGTGAGTGAGAGTTCTCCTGTCACTGACAGCTCCTTGTCTCTCACAGCCCTGGCAGTGTTATCTAACAGCTGCTGATGTCACCATTGTGAGTGCAGCTAAGACAGAAATACTTCCTTGGAGAAACTTTCAGCTGCCGTGTGACTCACTGAAGTATCTTAAGGCTTTTAAAGTTGTGGGATTTTTCAGGGATGACGTGAACTGTGTTAGTTTTCCAAACAGGTAAACATGCAGGGAAAGATTCTGTGTTTACTGCTTGCTGTTAGGTCACAGCACAGATGTGGTGAGGCTGGGGTGGGAACTGACAGAACACATTGGCATGTGTCGTGCCTTTGGCTCTTCCTTCCTATGAAAATGATTCATCTAAATGTTGTAAGACAAATTAATTTTATCCTGTCTGTGAAACAGGCATCCTGTGATAGTCATAGCTGCTCACTAGGAATTCCTCGTGTTTGAACTAGAGAGATCTGTCCTACTGCCAGTTCCCTAAGTTATGATATTTTCCTTTCTAGTACTGTATTTTACTGGAATGACCCCAGCTTGTAGGATGGGGACCCAGTGAGACATTAAATTTTTTTTCTTGGTCAGCATACAGGGAATCTTGGATTTATCCAAATCTGTTCCAGCTATAGGTGGTAAAGTTTGTACATTAACAAGTCTATTGTTAATGTGTAATCCAGGGCAGGGGTCATTAATTGGCTTGATCTAGTGAAGAATTAGTTGTTAAGTGGCTTTAAGAGGCTGCTGAGGAGATGAGGAGCACGTTACAAGGCAGCATGACAACTTCTTGGAAAATACTTTTCTCTCAGAAAGATCACAGAAATGGGAAAGGAGAGGATGGGTTCTCTTAGCTCACTAAGAGGAAGTGGCTGTAACCACGGGAAGATGTAAGAGAAGGCTTTGATTTGAGAACTTGGTATCCTCTTCTAACTCGTTCACTGTTTAGGGAGCTCTGGGGGGTTGTGTTGGTGATTTTGCTTTGTGTTTGTCAGTGTGTAATGTCAGCGAGCTCAGGTGATAGAAAAGGTCTAAAGCATTTATAAATGTAGTTCCGTCTGCTCTATTTTGAAACTCCTCCAAGATCCTGTTTCCAAATCTATACCTAAATGTAAGGACTTAAGCGTGAAGACAGTTGCTCAGGAGTTCTGAGTCCTTAAGCCAGAGCTCTTTGCACAGCTAGAGTGTTTCAGGAAGGTCTACAAAAATCGTGTTGGTGGTGAGTCTTAAGAGACAGCTGCAAACAAATGCACCCAAGGAGAGGAGGAATTCCAATTTCTTCTTATATTTGCTTCAGTGTGATGAGCTGGATGTGTGCCAGAGCAGCCTCGTCTTACCAAAATGGCTGATGCTGAAGGTCTGAATCAGGGAGATGTTTTTCTTCTCCTGGTGAGGATTAACAGCCATAAAAATAGGTAGCAGTCTCCCCATGGGTTGTGCCAGTTAGCACAAGATTTGAAAGGATCTCAAGCATGACCAAAGCCAGGCCTCTGTCACTGCTGAGGCTTTTTCATAATACTGTGTGCTGCCCTGTGGTCTCTGTTGGAAACGTGTCCCAAATTTTAATTTATTTGTACTGCTGCTTGCCTACTCTGTGTAATTTGCAGCACAGCTTAAATGTGTGTGGGGTCTCTTTCTGTTCTTAGGGGTGCACGGTCATCCGTTACACAGCTCCATGGAGGATGATATTCTTCTCTGAGACCTTTGGCATCAGATCCCTGCAGACGCCAGCCAGGCGACTCCTGGAGCTACTCTTTGACTACAGTGTTGAGAACAGACCGGTTCTTTTCCACGTTTTCAGCAATGGTGGTGTCATGCTGTACCGTTACATCGTCGAGGCGCTCCACACCCACGAGCCGTTCCAGAACCTCAGAGTAGCTGGCACCATTTTCGATAGCGCCCCCGGCAGGAGAAACTTGCGAGGAGCCCTTCGTGCCCTGGCAACTGTGCTGGCCTCCATGAACGTGCTGCTCAAGTATTTCCTGCTGTTCACGTTTGCCAGCGCGGCCGTGGTGCTGCGGATCCTGCTGTACCCCCTGACCCGCTTCATGCACGAGAGCCACTACGACGCCCTGCTGAAAGCGCCCTCGCGCTGGCCCGAGCTCTACCTCTACTCCCAGGCCGATCTCATCATCAAGGCCAGCGAGGTTCAGCTCATGGCCAGTGCCCGGCAGCAGCTCGGTGTTCCTGTCAAAGCTGTGGACTTCTCGGATTCGGCTCACGTCAGCCACATGCGGGTGTACCCCACCTACTACCGCAGCCTCTGCACGACCTTCCTGTCTGACTGTGTCGGGGCCTCACCTCCTTAGTGCTGTAATCACCTGCAGTGTTTGCCTCTGCTTGCTCAGCTCCTATGGGAAATGTCACCCCCTTTGCTTTTGTGTCTTTGAAGCGAGGAAGGTAGAGGCTTCTTGTTTGGTTTGTTTTTTTCTTTCCTGTAACGTCTACAAGCTTGAAAGCCTCCAGCCTGGCCTTTGGACCAGCCACGTTAGAGCAGAAAGTAGATATGGATTAATTTAAAGTTCTGAAGGTGAAATCCTGTCATGGTTCATGTTGATGTGCTTTGCCAAGGTGTCATAGACCAGAATCTCACACCGAGTGTTGTTTCTTTCTTCCTGTCTCTTCTTATTCTCTGCTTTCCATGTTGTCACCTTGTCCCTGATGTCCAACATGCATGTTCTGTTGCTTGTATTAATTTTACAATACAGCTCTTCCATGTCTTTGTTGTTTTGTTATTTTTTTTTTCCTAACAGTTCTTTTATCTTGCAATGAGCGAACAGAGCCAAATCTGCAGGACTCTTTGCTTTCCTCAGTGCATCTCAGTTCTTGTTGTACTCTCCTAACTGGAGATCAGGCCCTGAAACCAAGTGTAAGACCAGGAAAAGGTGTGTGTAGGGCAGTATGACCAGACTGTAATCTGGTTCCATTAAATAGCTGAGATATAACAGTCAAAGCTATCTGATCCTTGGTGGGAGCTCAAATGTTTTTTATAACTTTTGTGTTCTTCATCCCAGAGGTTTAAGCTAGCATTTTTGAATGTGTCTAGTGTTTTGTTTCTCTTCCTTCCAGTCTTTTGTGTTTTCTACTGAGTAGTTTTGCTTTCTTTGAGAGCTACTTATTTGTTAATTGTATGTCTTGAAGCAGCCTATATTTTGCATCTCAATATTCAGGGAAATTTTTGGATTATAGCTGTGCCAGATCCCAGAAACAGAAAGGTGGAATTGCAGAAAACAGAACTGTCTCTTGGAGCTGTGCTTCATACTGGGTATTTCTTAAATCACCTCTTGCCTACAAATGACCATGAAATATGTTTTTGTCCATCATGTTCTCTTCAGATGATCAGTCTTTGCAGTCCATACAACATGTACAAGAAATTAATTCCTTCCACCTAGTGAAAAAGTAGCTAATTGCACTGTACTTCATGTTTGGGTTTAGGTTTTATTGTTTATTTGAGGAAGAAGTGGGGATAAAGACAGAGGAGAGCCTGCTGATATGTTTATGCTATGTCACAGTATAGCAAGATAATTAATTACATGGTGAACAGGTCTAGCCAACTGTACATTGCCTGGAAGAAGCTCTGGAGGGCTGTGACATGGGCCTGCTTGAACAAGGAACTGCTCTAGAGAAGTAGGCATTTAGAAAGCAGGAGGAGTTTTGAAAAAAGTTCTGCTAGTGGGTGGCTGTGCTGCTTTTGCCTACTCTTGGGGTGTTGTCATCCACAATTACAAAACTCTTGCTGTTCTGGATTGAAATGCAGAAGGGGAAGTCCTTGGGAAGCACTAAAAATAATTTGGAAATTTAACACAAGAACTGTAACACCTCACAGAAGTGAAAGCACAGGGCGAGTAGCAGTGGTGACCACACAGCTGGTTTGTAGCAGACTTGTGACAATGCTCACTTAGAGCAGAATAACCCCCTGATGGCCATGGTTTTAGAGGGAGAGTTGGGCTGTATATGGGATAAATGTGAATTAACTGAAAATGGTCTGATGACCTGGTTTGTCTTTTATTTTTTAAAAGTGAAAACTGTCTCCAGGCACGGGAGCTTGTTCTCGGGTCCCAGTCTTTTGTAGGTGTGATCCCAGTTCCAGCTCCCACTGTGACAATGGGGTGTGAGGTCTACTCTGTGGTAAGAGCCTTCAGCCTTCCCCTTTTCATGGAGAAATTCTTGTTTCTAGGGTTTGGACCTGGAAAATCCAGGCATGGTCCCCTATCTCCAGAAAGCCCATCAGAGAACTCTCAGCTTTTTAAAGCAGGACCCTGGTTTGTGCTGTTAGTGCTGTAACTCCTGAGCTGTGATGTGTTATCTGCCTTTTCAGACATCTGGGTTGGGGCTTCTCAGCATCCAGCCTGTTTGTGGCCCTGTGAACACTCTTGGAGAACAGAGGTGATAAAAGTTATTTACCCAGCACTTGCCCTCATGCTGGTTTCTACAGGTTCAGTATTTACAGATCAGTTAAACACTCCATAATACACGCCTCTGAATTAATACAATTGTTCCTGGGAATCTGCTGTTCCTGTTTATTGCTGTGGGTGTTGAACTTCTCCTATTTAAGGACTTGGTCTGTTACAGAGCATGGCTGGCAGGAGCTGGAGCTAAACCCTCTGCCCTTGCCTGACAGGATGGTGAGGCTTCCCCTGGGAAAGAACTTCACATCAGCTGCACCTTCCTCACTTTCACCTCCCCACCATGGTGTTGCTGCTTCCCCACTCCCCAGGGCAGCAGGCAGGGAGTGGGTGCTGCCTGCTGGAGCTTTGCAGTCAGAGGTGTCCTGAGCTTTGCCGACAGGAACGTGGTCACAGGCGTTTCCACTGCTGCAAAAGTGACTTGAAATTCAAAGGTGATCTGTGTACACAGCTGTCTGAGAGTAGAATGATCTTGGGCAAGCCAGCGATTTACAGCACCAGTCTTGTGAGTGGGTGTTGTTTTCTGAGTCCCAGCAAGTTTTAATTCTGATTGTGAGCACTGTGTGATATGCTGGCCTCTGCTTTCCTGTACTGTGTGCCCCCACCTTCCTGCCCTCCGTATTCCTGAGGCTTATTTGAAACAGAAGGTTAATAACTTGGAGCCTGAAGGCACATGGCTGAGAACTGATCCAAGCACTACTGGATTTACAAAAACCCAGCCTCAGACCCTTAATCCTTGCTAAACTGTCACGGTTTTGCGCAGCCGGTGTTCCTAAAGAGCTTCAGCCTGAACACTGAAAGCCCAAAGGTTGTGATATCTTGGCAAATCCAAGTAAATCTCTGAGATGAGCTATGGGGAGGAGGGGCACTGCAGATCTGTTCATTGGGAGGAAAAAATGCAGCATCCTTGGACTTGCCTCGAGGGTAGGGAGTGGGATGTGGCCTAGAGCTTGCTTTTCTGCAGTCCAGCCCTCATGTGTAGACTGTGAAATAGTGTGGGTGGAACACCAACAGTGGTGGGAGAGGAGGATGCTCACAGCCGGCTACCACAGTTATGGTAAAGGAGAATTAACTTTCCCTCGTAACAAAATCTGTGTTTCCTGTGAGGGAACAGGCTCCTGGCCTGCTCCCCTGTGCCACCTTCTCTTCCCATACAGTGGTGATGTTACAGAGTGGTTTTGAAAAACAAACAAAGCCACTTAGTGGTCAGGGTGGCCCGTGTGGCTGTGCTGGAGGGTGCTCAGCTGCTCCTGACAGGGCTGGGAGGGTTCTGTGCAGCCAGAGCTCTGGGGGAGGCTATGGTGGGGAATTGGGCAAGCCAGAGGCAGGATCCAGCCAGCCAGGGTTCAGGTTTTGGAGCTGGGGGAACATCTCGCAGAGTGAGTAATTCAAATTAAGATCCTGGGTGGAGACTGACCTGTGCCCACACCTCATAAAGGTGTTTTAAAGGTGTGTGGGCTGAGGTCCCATTTTCATACATGTTGGGATGCTGCAGGCATATGCGTGGAGCTCTGCCATTTATGGAAAAGTGGGAATGGACGGGATGGAACCAAGCAATCCAACCCCGTGCTGCATCCCAAAAAGTGAAGGAGGGAGCCTGGTCTCCACTGTCCGTGGAGGAGCTGGCAGAGGGCGGCCGTGCAGAGCCCGCGGAGCCCGTGCCGGGCGGGAGCAGCTCCACGAGATGGCAGCAGGACCCCTCTTTCCCGCATGGAGAGATTCCTAGTCAGGAGACATCTGAGCACATCCCGGCGGAGACCCCAGCAGCACAGCTCAGCCCAGCGCTTCTGAGTGCCTGAGAGCATCTCCTGCAGAAGGTCTCCTCTCGGGGCAAGGAAAAAGACCAGCAAGAACTAACTCCGATGACAAGAACTAGAGATTGTGAGTTAATGCAGAATAGCATCTCTCCCTAGGGCTGCCTGCCTCTGGAATTTGTACTAGATCCCATTCCTCAGGTTTAACTGATTGTTAAAAGCAAAAGTCTAGCAGCAGGAACAGCTTTCCTGCCCTTCTCAGCTCAGCAGACCAGGTCACAGCACTTTCCTCTCCATCACCCAGGGAAGGCTATCTGTTTTTTAAATCAATCTGTGTAATTCTGTGATTGTGCAGACCATGGCCCAGCTTCTGGAGCTCCATGCATCAGGACTCCGGAGCTCCCTTGGTCTCCCTGTAGTCCCCAAGCCCTGGGAAAGGAGCTGAGTTTACTGCTGCTCTTCTGAAAAGGCTGGCAGGACCTCCCCGCACACAGGGCCGGGGATTGAGGATGCAATTAGGAAACAGGACAGCACAAATGGGGGCCCACAGTCACCAGCTGATCTGTCTCCTAATGCCCCCTTGTCCAGCACACCCACAGAGCTCCTTCACCCAGCCTAGGGCATGAATATCCCTCCATCCCCTTCCCTTTGAATTTGACCCTCCCCCCCCCACCACCAATTTCTGCATCCTAATATGGCTGCAAGTGCACCCCAGTACCATCAGACAGGCTATGTGGGCACGGCTGGATGAGCAGAGGTGGCCATGGCATCCTTTGGTCATCCTCCAAACCCATGGGGGCTGGGGCAGGGAGAGCTTGGGCAGCCCTGCCCCCGTGGAGTGATGGATGAGCTGACAATAGGGTATTGATAAGGAATTAACCTTGAGCCCTTCTTGCTTCAGTGTCAATAGAGCAGGAGCCAAGTACACACGTTTGATTGGAAATCTGTGTTTGGCCTCTGCTGCCTCTGAGCCCATCGAAGGAGAGAGATGAGAGGGGGATGTGAGCTGCCCTGCTGCCCCCTCCCCGGTTTGGATCCCCCCAGGTGGATCCCTCTCAACTTCCCCAGCCCTCTGCTGCTGGAGTTGACTGTGGGCACCCAGCTCCAGTGGCTGCAGCCTGGCATGTGGAGGGCTGGGTACCAGGGCCCCCCTTGTTCCCTAAAGGGCCTGTGCCCATCTTGCACTGGCCTACACTCCGAGCAGTTTGTTTAATTAAGTGTTTTGCCTAATGGGATTGCCTCATTTCCATAACAAACTGGCGGGCTGTCATTAGGTGGGCTCCCTCATTCATTACTGTTAATTAGATATGGATCCCCCAGAAGGCGGCGCGGGGTGATGAACGAGGCCCCTGACACACGCTATTACACATTAGCATTTTCTCAATATATCCGATACATCATGGTCCTCCGCTTCCTAAAGATATTTTAAATAAAATATTAGCAGCCTGCTGCGGGGTAGGTGGAGAGGGAGGGAGGGTTTCTGCCCTTCGCCCTGGCCTCAGGCCACCTTTGGGCTGGAAGTGGATGAGAGAGGGGCTGAGAAAGTGGCCAAATCCCACCCTTTCCTTTCCCTGTCCTTGCCACAGCAGATGGAAAGGTCCCTGACATCCTTGCTGCCTCCTCCCACCGGCCTGGGGACCCCCAGCACCCCATCCCTGGGGGACACAGCCATGGGGAGGGGTTTGAAAACAGCCCACTGACCCCTCTGCAAAATGTTTGTAAACCAAAAGCGTCGGCGCCAGCCGCGTGCCGGGGGGAACCCGACCTCTGTCCCCCCGCCCCAGCAGCCTCCCAGTCCCCGAGTCGGGGTAACCCTACACTGCACTGGAGGCCCCTAATGCAGGATGTATAGATCTGTTGGGGCTGGGCGTCTCCTGCCCCAGCCTAACGCAGCTGATGAGACTTCATTACAGGGGTGTCCCCTGAGGGGTGCCCTTCGCCCTGCCCTCCTGGCTCTATGGGGGGAACCAGTTGGGGGAACCCGTCCATGTCCCAGCATCCTCCTGCATCTGTCCCTGCATCCCAAACAGGACCAGGACTCCCCTCTGGGACACTACTCACATCCAGGGGCTGTGGCGTGTGGGGGGTGTCTCTGCTGCCTCTCGCCTGCAAAGGGAAACACAGAGAAGCAGAAAGCACCCGAGAAGATTTATACTTGTTTAATTAATGTCAAATGTAGTTTACAAACGGGAGTGACAAGTACCTCTTTGTATAGTATACACTGACACACAATCATTGACACACTGGAATATCGCTTTGTGCAACTGGGATTCTTTGGGCAAAGATAGGTAACTCTGATTTTTTTTTTTTTTTAATCATTTAAACTCATTACAGAAGAGGGGAAGTGGCGGATACCTGTTACAAACTGGGATGTCTCTCTCCCTAGCCTTCCCCCTGCAGCTTCCCCCTTGAAAACAGGGGATGGCTTTAGAATTTAAACAAAAAAAACCCAAAAAAACAAAAATAAACCCCAAAGCAAAGAACCAATGAGTAGTTGCATCTGGTTTTACACATACGTACATAAAGCACACGGCTGGTCCACAGCACCTGCCAGAAAGGCCCTGGGAGGGAGCTAGGCTATTTCCAAGGAAGGGCTGGGTAAAGGCCTCCTACCCTCTTGCCCTTCCTGGCTCTCTCTGAAACCCACCTGCCTGCACCCTCTCCATCTCAGACCGTAGCACCAGCACACTCCCAGCTGAGCCATGTGCCCTGCGAGTTCTTCTCCCTTTACAAATCCAGCCTGAGCTGTGCATGCCTGCCCTTCCCCTGCCTTGTGCTGCCAGCTGCAGGGTTACCCTGCAGTGACAGCCCCTGCCCGCAGTCTCCCTGTGAAGGCAGGACCCTCTGGGGTGCCCCAGCTTCCTCTGGCTCCTGGGAGTTCTG